GTAAATGGCGGTTTGTAGCCAGATTTTGTGTTAAAGGGGTGAATGGCATTGTCGTCTCCGGTATGTGAAAATTAGCGACATCAATCAACCAAACTTGTAAGAGATTTATTAGGACCCGACACTCCAAACCACACTTTAAGTAGATATGTTTTTTGCATAGAGCAGATTAATATCTGATTTGAATTATGCAAGTAGTTGTAGAGTGTTTCGGCTATTAAGAAGCCTCATCAGGGGTCACGGACATAAATCATGGTGTGTGAAAATTAGCGACATCAATCAACCAAACTTGTAAGAGATTTATTAGGACCCGACACTCCAAACCACACTTTAAGTAGATATATTTTTTGCATAGAGCAGATTAATATCTGATTTGAATTATGCAAGTAGTTGTAGAGTGTTTCGGCTATTAAGAAGCCTCATCAGGGGTCACGGACATAAATCATGGTGTTTGTTTTAGGTGAGACCGGATTATCTCGTCACCTATATTCTTGTGTTTGCTGTAAGCAATGATTGGTTGAGAATGAAATAAAGTTTTGCATTCTGGATTTCTAAGAATGGTGTTCCAATATTTTAGAATTCGTTTTTTCAGTCCTTTAACGCAAGGGTTAAATTTAGTAACCAGTACTGTAGTGTTACGTAATGACTGTTCTTTAGTCTTTTTGATGATGAGTTTTGATCGGTTTGTGTTGACCGTTTCCTTGATAATAGGATCAATTTCCGAAGTAGAGTAGCCTCGCTTTGATAAGTGCGTCTTGAAGTCATTAAGTGTGAAAATTAGCGACATCAATCAACCAAACTTGTAAGAGATTTATTAGGACCCGACACTCCAAACCACACTTTAAGTAGATATGTTTTTTGCATAGAGCAGATTAATATCTGATTTGAATTATGCAAGTAGTTGTAGAGTGTTTCGGCTATTAAGAAGCCTCATCAGGGGTCACGGACATAAATCATGGTGTTTGTTTTAGGTGAGACCGGATTATCTCGTCACCTATATTCTTGTGTTTGCTGTAAGCAATGATTGGTTGAGAATGAAAAAAAACGAATTCTAAAATATTGGAACACCATTCTTAGAAATCCAGAATGCAAAACTTTATTTCATTCTCAACCAATCATTGCTTACAGCAAACACAAGAATATAGGTGACGAGATAATACGATCTCACCTAAAACAAACACCATGATTTATGTCCGTGACCCCTGATGAGGCTTCTTAATAGCCGAAACACTCTACAACTACTTGCATAATTCAAATCAGATATTAATCTGCTCTATGCAAAAAACATATCTACTTAAAGTGTGGTTTGGAGTGTCGGGTCCTAATAAATCTCTTACAAGTTTGGTTGATTGATGTCGCTAATTTTCACACCTGATGAGGCTTCTTAATAGCCGAAACACTCTACAACTACTTGCATAATTCAAATCAGATATTAATCTGCTCTATGCAAAAAACATATCTACTTAAAGTGTGGTTTGGAGTGTCGGGTCCTAATAAATCTCTTACAAGTTTGGTTGATTGATGTCGCTAATTTTCACATACCGGAGACGACAATGCCATTCACCCCTTTAACACAAAATCTGGCTACAAACCGCCATTTACATGCAGCGAACTCGAGGAATATATTGATAAAACAAAATTGGAACTTTCCTCTTTGAAAATTGCAAAAAAGAGATCAAACATCTCAAATGCTGAAAGAGAAGCTATTTTATCTCTTAAAAATAACAACGACATTGTTATTAAAAAAGCAGATAAAAGCAACACAATTGTCATCATGAACAAAGACCAGTATGTCTTAGAAGCACAAAGCCAACTGCAATCTAAACACTATATGCAAGTATCTGAACCCAACATGCTCAAACTGCATGAAAACATTCAAAATAAACTTGCCGCAATGCATTCAAATGGGTCATTGGACAAAGAAACTTACAAATTTCTTAATGACAAAAAACCTTCACTCAAATGTGGGCATTTGTACCTTTTACCGAAAACCCACAAAATACCAGCAAACATTTACAATGCTCTAATAAACGGTCAGTGCAGCATTAGGAAATTACCACCTGGTAGACCAATTATCTCGCAATGCGATACGCCAACGAGGAAAATAGGACAATATTGCGATTGCTTTCTTGTACCCATTGTACAAAAACAATCAACTTATATCAAAGACACTACGGACTTTATCACCAAAATCGAAGGCCTCACATTGCCAACAAACGCATTATTAATTACTTATGATGTGACGAGCATGTACACAAACATGGAATTCAAGGAACTTCTCTCATCAGTAAATGAGACTTACACACAGGTCAATAAAACGCAATTAGACATTCCATATCCGGACCCTGAGGATCTAAACTTCTTACTGAAATGCGTCTTGGAAAATAATTACTTTGAATTCGACGGAAAATATTACAAACAAATAATAGGAGCAAGTATGGGGGCAGTCCCCAGTCCAGAGATTTGTGACATCAGAATGTATCAAATCACAAAGCATATAATGGCACAATTTCGTCATGCCAGCAAAATTGTCTTCCACGGCAGATACCGTGATGACGGTTTCATAATATTCAATGGAACGCAACCAGAGATAGAAGAATTCTTTAATATCGGCAATCACTGTCACAAGCATCTAAGATTTACATTTGAAATTTCTCCATCTGCTGTCAACTTCCTTGATACTACAATTTATAAAGGAACAGAAATTTCAAAATTTTAACAAACTTGATATCAAGTCGTTTATCAAACCAACAAATAACTTTCAATATCTACACAGACAGAGCGCTCATAGCCCAGCTGTGTTTAAAGGATTCATTAAAGGAGAATGCATTAGACATGCGAGAAACACCACTGACCCTGAAATATTACATGCAACACTTAATGACTTCAAGACGCACTTATCAAAGCGAGGCTACTCTACTTGGGAAATTGATCCTATTATCAAGGAAACGGTCAACACAAACCGATCAAAACTCATCATCAAAAAGACTAAAGAACAGTCATTACGTAACCCTACAGTACTGGTTACTAAATTTAACCCTTGCGTTAAAGGACTGAAAAAACGAATTCTAAAATATTGGAACACCATTCTTAGAAATCCAGAATGCAAAACTTTATTTCATTCTCAACCAATCATTGCTTACAGCAAACACAAGAATATAGGTGACGAGATAATACGATCTCACCTAAAACAAACACCATGATTTATGTCCGTGACCCCTGATGAGGCTTCTTAATAGCCGAAACACTCTACAACTACTTGCATAATTCAAATCAGATATTAATCTGCTCTATGCAAAAAACATATCTACTTAAAGTGTGGTTTGGAGTGTCGGGTCCTAATAAATCTCTTACAAGTTTGGTTGATTGATGTCGCTAATTTTCACAAGTATGTAAAAAAAATTGAGGCAAGATAAAAAAAACCATTCTAAGTTTATGATTTTGTGACAAATCATTCCTCATGCATATATTTTCATGAATTTTAGAAAAAGCGACCTGAAGAATACTACACAGATGTATACAAACCTGGATGCCAGCAGTTCATTGCAAAATCAAAATTACCTAACTCTATTTTGACGCAACTTCAATTTTCTGACCTTTTTCATTTTTATTTCTTTTTGTTAAAAGCATTAAAATCAATTTTGATTGATTGATTGTATATTGTTGAACGCCCCCCTTGAGAATTTTTCACTCATATGGAGACGTCATCAATACCGGTGAAGGGCTTCAAATTTCGACCTATACTCGGCACTCAGGGCCATTGAGCAGTGAGGGTTCTTTATCGTGCCAACGCCTACCATTACACGGGACCTACGTTTTTAAGGTCATATCCGAAAGACCCTTGACTTTCACTTCTAGTGCCGAGCGCTTGGCGAATGAAGTCACTACCTATTTTTACGTCTTAGGTATGACGCGGCGCCGCGATCGAGAATCGAACCCGGGCCTCCCGATCACGAAGCGAACGCTTTACCACTAGGCTACCGCGACCGGTCCAAAATCAATTTTGTATTCATTGATTACGTATATGACCATTTATAAAAAAAAAAATTTGTTTGTTCAAAATCTTATACATGAAAAGAAATATAACAACACTTGCTATGGCCTTTTGTAAAAAAAAAAAGTGACTTCAATCACGTCAAGCCATGGACCCTGATCCAAATTAAATAAAGTGTTTAGGCGATGTGATAACAGGCCATAAGGAAATATTCCAAATAACTTATTATCATTAGTGATATATGTCCACGATTATGAGAAATCAACTTATATATCTCAAATTTTGTATATTCTTTCTATTCGTTTTATCGTATACTGGTAAGTTCTTTTTTTTCAAGTTTAGAAGCGGTGAGGGAATTTTCAAAGTAATACAGTGTTTATTTCATTAACATAGCTGAATGTCGTACTTGTAAATAGATATGCAGGAATGCCACAATTATTTAATTGTCTCTGACTATACATATAGATATGTCAGCAAATGATCTGTATTGTAATTGACCAGTAAGCGATGCTTTCATAACTTTAATTTCAGTTTTGAACTTGTTAGGATATCTTCTAAACACTTTTGTGTTTTATATGTTATAAATGGTTTGTCTTTGAATGTTTCTTTGATTTGGGGCTACCTTGATAAAGTGTGCCATTTTTTTCAGTATTTTCTTTTTGATTTTGTATTTGACAGGCTTTTATTTTGTAACCATGACCAATGGTTAACTTAACTTTCTATTTTTTTTTTTAATCAATATGAGTTGCTTTTTTTAATTTTTTTTTTATTTTTTACATTTTATTTTATCTGCTTTTCAATAGAGAATATTTGAACTTTCGACAGCATTTTTTGAATAGTAGAATCGCTTGTATTGCCTAAATGACGCATGATTTTGCCTCTTATGATTACAAAATGAAGTTGAAGACCAGTTCGATGAAGGATTTAAAGAAAGGCCTTAGAGGTTTTAACTTTCAAGTTAGTTAAATAGATATTGAAATCACGATCACATTGATATACGCGGTTTCCCCAAATTCCAACGCATTGCAGAGATAACGCTAAAAATAGCGATTAACACACCTGTGCGGTCTCCAGAAAAAGAGCCGAAAACCGGAAATGACGTCACACGTTGTGTATGCTACATGTGTTCAGTGTTGAACACAATGTCTAAGAGAATATCTGGGAAGTTTTGTGTAGCAGCGGGTTGTACGTCAACCAATCGTGACAATGTGTCTCTCCACGAGTTTCCGAAGGAAGAAATTCGCCCTGAAATTCGGCGACTGTGGATTACTTTTGTGAAAACAAAAAGAAAAGACTTCACAAACCCTACCAAGTATTCCGTGCTTTGTGAAAAACATTTCGCACCGAAGTGCTATCCTCAGGAATATTTGATCAAAGAATCTATGGGTTTCGAAGTAAAGAGGAAAAGTTTGTTACCAGATGCAATGCCCACAGTTCACACAGTTGATGTGTCTTGTCCAGAAAAAAGACCGAATCCTTATGCATCCCCCTCTCACCAGGGAGCTTCAGAGCGTCCCTCGCAACCCAAAAAAATGAGAGCTGCCTTTAGAAAACGTGAATGTATGAGAGTAAGTAGCATTATTTCTCGTTGTTATTATTACTTGTATACATCTTGATGGAAAGATGCGTGGTTCCATCCTCAGGTGGATCCTCCTTCATCAGCTGTTTCGGCGCTGTCCACTACAGCCTCCAGAGGTGCGCCGACTGGGGTGATCAAGTCCCAGCCTGGAACCACTTGGCTCTACATCACTGCTGTACTAATTCAGTGTCTGTCTTACTGTTGTTTTTCACATCACTGCTGTTCTACCTTTACTGTCTATCTCACTAATGTTTATTGTCTTTCCACTTATCTGCTCTTCTTCTCCACAACCACATGGACGCTGATTCTGCCTCCCTGCACAGATTCCCTATCAGCCTCCTTCTCTCTGCTCCCGTTATGCCAATGGCTCTCAGTGCTCTCCATATTATTGTGGAAAAAATACATTGAATTACTAAAGTTTTGAATATAAGTTAGCTTCTTATAAAACTTTTAACTATAAAATTGGGAAAAGGAAGAGGGGGGGGGGTATGACCGATAACGTACCAATCTGAATTATTTAATAATTTTAAAGGTTCTCCAGCCCGAAAGCAGTGCCAGCGTGAAAAATAATGAATCAGTCGAGACTGGAGCAGATTCATGTAATGACTTGGATAAATCTGAACAGGTACATTGAGTGCAATATTCAGAATATTTTATAATAATTATGTCTTAAATTATATTCACTTGTATTATCGTTCATTAATACTTTTTCAGAGTAAGACCCGGACTGTTGGGATGCAAGTTAACAGGAAGCCAGTATTTAAAAGATCAAAATACTCTCAAGTCAAGCCTCAATTGAAAGAAAAGGGTAAATTAAACTTCACATGTTATTATGCAACATTCTGCAGGCTGTTTCATATATATATATAAAATGTAGTACATGTGTAAATAATAATTTTAATTTGATCAGGAGTTCAAGTTGACATCAGAGAGAGACCCAAGATGATTAGTGCAGGGACTCAATGTAACAGGGATTTAGAAGAGTTCGAGCTTTCAAGAAAACGAAAAAAACCTAAATTGACGCAAAGATCATATATGAATGATGATGTTGACTACACTGCTCCCATTTACACAGATGAACGGAACAAAGACTCGGATTATGAGCCCAACTTATCAGATGACTCACTGTCAGACACCTATTCTGAAGAAAATAGGTAGATAGAAGTGTACCAAAATTAGATTTTTTTTTACTTTTCTTGCATTAGTGTACAAAATACAATTTTATGGATATTTTTTTCAGTCAAAGTGAAGGTACAGGAGTGTGGAATGAAAGAAAATTCATTGTATTTGAATCCAACCTACTCGAGCTATTCCGCTACTGTTCATCTTGTTCATCTGTGACCTTATTTGCTGTCAAGAAAATTTTAGGGTCCTTGGTTCAAGTTGAGCAAATATGTGGCAGTTGTGGACATCATAGGATATGGAACAGTCAACCAATGACTGGGTCTATTCCATCTGGAAATCTACTTTTATCTGCAGCTATTCTGTTTACAGGTAACACATCAGCTTGTATAATTTAACTTGTTTAATGAAGGCATTGGGGGAAAATGCTATAACTTTTTTTTTAATTTCCAGGCTTACTTCCATCAAAAGCTCTTAGGTTTTTGGAACATCTGCATATCCAGACTATTACAGCCAATACATTTTTCCAACACCAGAAGCACTATCTCCATCCCTCAGTTTGTAATGTTTGGAAAAACTTTTTAGGACAATTATTTTAGAAAATTGGCAGAAAGCGACAGAGCTTTAACTGTTGGAGGGGATGGTCGAGCCGATACCCCTGGGCATTCTGCAAAGTTTGGAAGCTATGCCCTGTTGGATATGGACCTTTCTCTTGTAATCAATATAGAACTAGTACAGGTACCTATTTTAATGGTCATATCATATACTTGTAAGTTGTATTTTATGCAAGTTAATATGATTTAACATCATTTATCCTTCACTTGTAGAGCAATGAAGTGAAAAGTAGCTATCACATGGAAAAGGAAGGGTTTATTAGGAGCACAAACCATATTCAGGAAAGAGGGATTAAAATCAAGGAGATCATAACTGACAGACATGTGCAGATTGTGAAACACATTCGAGAAGAAATGCAAGAAACAGTCCATCACTTTGATGTATGGCATGTAGCAAAAGGTAAATTAATGTTTTTGGCATTTAAAAAAGAAACATTTATTTTCGGGTAGACTTATATGTATTCTAAGTATTCATAATATTTGAAATTATGTAAATTATGAGGAGTAAGTAACGACTCAAAATTGTATTTTCATAAATCAGGATTAAAGAAGAAGCTGACTGCTATGTCCAAAGAAAAAGGGTGTGAACAACTTCAAGAATGGATCAGGAGTATATGCAACCATTTATATTGGTCTGCTGCATCAACTCCAGATGGAAATGGGCGGTTGATGCTGGAAGAATGGCAGTCAGTTGCTAATCATGTCCAAAATATTCACGAACATGATGGTGAACTTTATGACACCTGCCCGCATGGTCCTTTGGAAGGCATTGAACGACCCAAAAAATAGTTAATACCAGGTAATATAGCACATATTAGCAAGTGTTATTTTTTTCTGGGTTTAATTAAACAAAATTGTATCAGTTTATGCAAATACGTTTCATTATTTACAAGGATCAAAACTGGCTGAAAAGTTCTCCGACCTGGTCTTCTCAAACCAAATGAAGAAAGACGTCCCCAAATTATCACCTGGTTCCCAGACAGCAGCACTGGAAGGATTCCATGCAGTTGTCAATCACTTTGCACCAAAAATGATTGGCTTTTCATATCATGGGATGCTATCAAGGTATGTATTATTTCTAATAAGAGTCAACATATTAACAATTTTATATTTGTTTTTTTATATATTTTTATTCATATTCTTAAAATATCTTACAGACTTATTCTCGCTGCTCTCCATTTTAATGAAAATGGAATGAGGGAACAGGCCACAACCAAAGATGGGAAAAAAAGATTTGACATTGTGTTTCCAAAATTCAAAAGAGGGGAATACACAGTTCGGGAAGTTAAAGTGGAATGCACTTATGGTACAGTTTTCATAATTATACAATCAACCAAGTGAAAATAAATGTCACAAATACATATCTCTTTTGTTGCACTTTTATAACATGTCAAATTATAATTATTTTCGCTTTATACAGATTATGTAAAGAAACTGATGTCTTCGGTTGAGGAGCGGGCCTCTCAATTCAGCATGAATTCTAGTGTAGTTGTCCAGCGTCAGCCTGCACCTCCTCCTTTGTGTAGTGTCTATCACCATCCAGACAAGACTAAGGCAGTCGAGGAGAAACTATCGAGATTTAATCAGCAAAATTTTGGAGATGATGATTCCTCTGCTTGTTGCTAAAAATATCTAAAGTTCCTTGTATATTTAACATACATTCATGTTTAAATATGCACTTTGTTTAGATCCTTAACCTGGTTTGAAACCAGTATAATGTCCTGATCCACTTGGAAAAGTGTTTCTGATACAAGTGACTGCACAGGAGGGTAGAACAACCCTTACTTTCTTTCCCAAGTACCCCCATGCCCAGCGTGCAAGCTGTCGATAAGCTGTATATCTGTACATTCTGAAATGAAATTTCATGACTTGATTATAATCGTTTTTTAAATATTTATTACATGTTTTAATTGATATGCATGTATTTATTCAAATAATAAAGACAGTACAACAATAAACTTACTCTGATGAATCTGGTATACTTTCATTGTATTGTTGTCTATACTGATAATATGCAATTTGCAGAACATATACATTTAGACATGCTGGATGGAAACCAGGGTGAGATGTTATACAATTAATTGCATTTTCTGATTCTTCGAGTAGGGCATGCACCCTATCCACTTCTTGACAGCATACACACTCAGCTGCTGTAGGCATTACTATACAGTTTCCACATGTGCACCTGTATAGAAAATTTAAAGCTTACATTATACTTTTATCAGATCATTCATAGTGTTATTTTGTCGGGAAAAGCACGCCACGGATATAAACAAAAAGGAAATTAATTTATTAAAGTAGTTACCATTCGGTATTTTGAAGTCTGGTGTTATTATCATCGTAAGTGTTATTATCAACTTCAACAGACTCCTCATCAGAACTACTTGCATACGGTTCAAAACGGAATGGTGCAATTGAATTTGGGTCGGTTTCAATATTTTCATCGAAGCTAGAAGAACCACAGGATAAATCCAACTACAGTTCGTCCTCAGATACCTCTGATTCTACGTAATTATCCTCACTGACAGCTCTCTCGGCCATATCTACACACAACACGTGTATGCTAAACACATCGAGTGACGTCACGAAACTTGTGTACATTAGACCGGAAGTTACACTTGACTGGATTATCGATCGCCGAGGCAGGTGCAAATGAGCATGTTTATCTATAAATATCTCAGGAAATACGATGTCTTTTTTCATCGGGTTTTTTACATTGTCTTTTTTATGTAAAGCTCTGGTCATTCAAAATGCCTTGTATTTCTCTGTGGCCTATCTTTAATATAAGAGATTCTGATACGCCCGATGTCAAATCGGACACATTCACTGATATTGTCTCCATTGCTTGAGATAATTTCACTCAAAAACTTAGAACACGACTGTAACAAACTGAAATTCTTCATTACATTGTAAATAAATCCCCTGGGTTCACCCTTCCGGTAACTTGTGTAATAACCCTGTGGGGAGCCCCTAAATTCCTTTAGTTCCCATAGTAACATAGCAGCCCTGTGGGGAGCCCCTCGTTTTACTTTAAATAGTAAGGTTAAAGCGTGCTCTGAGTAGTACCCGGGAAAAACATCAGCCGATAGACGTGTTCGTCTAGTGCTACCAGGGGGCCTGTCCATAGAAAACCACATGGGTCTTATGCCTTATTTTCATGCCTAAAGTCTCTCTACAGAATGTTACAGAGTATGTAAACTGTCGGGTACTGAAATTCTTTATTTGAGAGTAGCCAATTCCATGTTATGGTGTGTGACAGAGACCGTAGCGTGTGAGTGAACTATGGCGGCCCGTACGACACATCTCTAAAACCAGTTCTGTGAGTTACTAGTATATCATCGGGCGGTGACCCTCACTGAACATTTCATTATCTGAGTTAAAGTTATTATATGAACGAAACATTGTGAAAGTTTGAGAATTATAACTATTGTGAATTTGGAAATAATTCTGAATATTTAGTTTCATTGAAAGACATTTCAAAGTGTTGAGCCTGGCGTCGGACCATTGTCTCTGGAACCCGAGAGGAACCCAGTGTGCCACGCAGCCCGTTATTAATTAACATTGTTCCGTGCAGCCATACAAAAAGGAAACTGTAAAAATCTATTCTTAAAGGATTTCCGCACTTACGGAAGGACCAGGACAAACGGGACCTATTCATACCAAGGGACATGCGCACTGACTGACTGAGGACCAGGACCAATTAACAAAGACATTTTCAATTTATTTTATTTTTGTACATTTTTTTTTGGTTAAATTCTTTGTTAAAATTTCTGTTTACTTTGTTCTTTAATTTTGTTATTAAATTTTGTTAAAATTTTAAAGTTCTTCTTTTGATTTTTGTAAGTTCATCAGGGTGTATAACCCACACCCTCACAAATGGTGGCAGCGGTGGGATACATCTGAGCTTGCATAAATCAAGAGGTTTTTTTTGTATTTCGAAATTTTGATTTTGACTTTGTTTATTTTGTATGTTTCAGTTCAAACTTTCACAATGTCGCACATGCCAAAGTGGATGTCCGAGCTTATCGAGAAAGGGTCAAGCGTCACAGAGTGTTTAGAGATGTGGCGTCAGGAGCAGGAGGCAATGAGAGCTGAGAGAGATCAGGCTAGAGCTGAACGAGAGACAGTAAGAGCAGAAAAGGAAGCTGAACGAGAGCTTGAGAAAGTAAGGTTAGCTCATGAAAGAGAGGAGCGTCAGGCTAAGAGAGACATGGATAAGTGGGAGGCTGAGAAAGAGATTAAGTTGAGAGAGTTAGCTCTTAAAGAGAAAGAGTTAGAGAAGAGTAAAACTGGTCCCTCCCCCCAGAGCATTCACACCCCTAGTGTAAAGTTACCTAAATTTGAAGAAGGTCAAGACCCTGACGTTTTTCTAAAATCTTTTGAGAAAATAGCGGGGTTACAAAAGTGGGATCAATCTCAATGGGCGGTTCGTTTAGTCCCAATGCTATCGGGTAAGGCTCTTGAAGCTTATTCTAGATTGTCAGATGAGGATAGCGATAATTACGATGCTATAAAAACTGCTATTCTTAAAAGGTATGAACTTACCTCAGAGGCCTATAGGGATAAGTTTAGGCAGTGTCGACAGTCCAGTGATGAATCGTTCAAAGATTTTGTGGTTAGGACAGAGAGGTTCTTTAATCATTGGTGCGAAAGGGAAGAAATTGGTTCAAACTTTCATAAGCTGTTTGATTTGATGTTGAGAGAACAGGTGATAAGAAGTTGTTCAAAAGAGTTGCAACTGTGGGTACTTGAACACAGTCCAAAGTCTATAAAAGAAGTTATAACTTTGTCAGAGTCATTTCAGGTTGCACATAAAGGCAGTTATTCAGGCGGTGGTCGTGGTAACGCAGGGGAAAAACCGGGTGCAAAACCAAATAAGTTTGGTTCGGTTCAGTCCCATAAAGGTAAGTTTATCTCGCCTTTAGATCAGAGGAAATGTTTTAAGTGTGACAAGGTCGGGCATATTGCTCCGAATTGTCCATTGCGTAAAGTTCAGTCAAAATCTCCTCTGAATCAGAAACCAGGTAACCACAAGTCTAATGAACAGTTTGGTTTGTGTCTTGATGAGACAATGACAGTATCTGAGGATTCTGATAGTGTTCATGAGAATAAAGTGGTGGTTAAGTTGTCTGGTGTATCGATTACTGATGATTCTGCTTTAGAATTAAGTTGTGAAACAGGTTTAGATTTGGTGAGTGGAGAAGTCGGTGGACATGTTGTCTCAGTTTTAAGGGATACTGGTTGTTCAACGGTGTTTGTCAACAGTAAATTAGTTTCAGATGAGGATAAGACTGGGAAATCAAGGGTAATTACTCTAGCTGACGGTACGAGGAGATCTTGCAGTGAGGCAATCGTAAGTGTGAATACGCCATACATTTCAGGTAAGGTACACGCTCTATGTCTAGATTCTCCTTTTGCTGATGTTATTATTGGCAACAATGTGAGCATTGTAGTACCTAAGGAGGCAGACCCTTTACCCAGGATGGAGAAGGTGGACACAGTCGAAGATGACGCATGCGGAGCGGTCCAAACTAGATCAGAGCTAAGGAAACAAGAGAGGGCAGAAAAACCAAAAACGGATGATTTGAAAGCATCGAACACCGAAAATGAAGGTATGTGGTGTAACAGGGAGGAATTGATTGAGCATCAGAAAACTGATGAGAGCTTGAAGTCAATTCTAGATATGGCACAAAATGGACCATATGAGGGTAAGTCATATTTCATCTTGAAAAATGATTTATTGTATAGAGTCTTTGAGAAGAATTCTGATGAAAAGGTCTTCCAGATTGTAGCTCCAAAGAAACTGCGCAAGGGTATTATGTCATTGGCTCATGACACACCATTGGCTGGGCATCTTGGAAACAAGAAAACCAGAGAACGAATCCTGCAAAACTTCTTTTGGCCGGGTATGTATGTGGACATATCACGGTATTGTAAGTCATGCTCTATTTGTCAGAAGGGGATGCAGAAAGGGAGAACACCAAAAGCAAAACTGGTGCCAATTCCAAAGATAGACGTTCCATTTTCCAGAGTCGCCATCGACTTTGTGGGTCCATTACCAATGACAGAAAAGAAAAACAGATATATTTTGGTATGTATGGACTATGCTACTAGATTTCCGGAAGCATTTCCGATGAAAACTCAAGACGCAGAAAGTGTGGCAAATGCGCTTATGGAAATGTTCTCAAGAGTAGGCTTTCCTAAAGAAATTTTATCAGACCAGGGAACAAATTTTATGTCATCACTCATATCAAACCTGTGCAAAATGCTAAAAGTGCGTAAACTGTCAACTACCCCTTATCATCCTCAAGCTAACGGGCTAGTAGAACGATTTAATGGGACTCTTAAGCAAATGTTGAAAGCATATGCAGTTGTAGAGCCATTTAAATGGGATGTTCATTTACCATATGTACTCTTTGCCTACAGAGATGTCCCAAATGAAACGACAGGTTTTACTCCCTTTGAACTTCTTTATGCCAGACATGTCAGGGGTCCACTAGACATCTTAAAGGAGCAGTGGGAAGAACCAACTGAGGAACAAGCATCAGTCCTAAGTTATCTCATGGAAACACGTGAACGAATGGAGACGGTACGTAAGTTGGTAACAGAAGTGGAATCCCATGCAA